ATCAGAGAGGACAGGTAAAAAATGAGGCTCCCAGTGGCGTAGAGGCCACATATACCACCTTTTTAGAGGTGTTCCAGAAAAGAGGTCTGTCAAGTCGAGGGGCTGGATTTCCACGTTGGGGAAGCAGCTCAGCAAGGAGAAAGCCCAGTGCTTGGGTAAGGAGGCATTCTCTTTGGCCAAGCCTTTCATGAGCACCACGACTCTTGATGCGGGGTGTGCTCTGGCCGCTGACTCCACAGAGCATGAGAACAGGTAACTTGGGGTAGTTTGCTCTGAGGTCTCCACAAAAAACACACTTCCTGTAGAAGGAGAGGGCCCACCAGCAATGTTGAGGGAAGAAGGCACATAGTGAGCACAGCTGATTTCAGCAGACGAGCCGTAGGGGAGGCCTCTGCTCTTTGGGTCCTCCCAGATGCCCCAGTACAACTTGTGGTAGGCAAAGGATACAAACACAAAGATGAGGATAAACAGGGCCCAGGGCTTGTGGCTCAGCATGACCCTGGTGGGCTTTAGGAGGCAGCTGGGCATCCTGAGCATTTTCTCTCCAGCCATAGCTTGCTCTCCTATGACAGCCTGGAGGAAAGGAAAGAAAAAAACCTGACAGATGAGGCAGCAAAGTATGAGCCTTCCTTCACAGGTGTGTCCCAACTTCATAGTAGTGCACAACAAACTCGGCAAACTCTATTAGAGACCTCTTCTGCTAATCTCTAGGTCTTCCTGTCTTTCTGAACGTGGGACACGTGCAAAAAGCTCTGGCAGGAGGAAAGCAAACAAGCAGGGAACAAGACAGAAAACCCAGCTGGCACAATCCCATTTGTCAGTTGTCCCGTGATTACTGAGCCTCTGTCACATATGGCACTTCTCATGTGCCAGAAAAAGGTTTGTTAGAGGCACTAGGACTTGAGGACAGAAGAGAGGCAGTCGATACACGAATGATCAGCTCTGGATCCCCAGAAGGTTTTCTCCTCCTGCACAGAAATGCCAGCGTGTGCTGCCAGTGCTGCAGGCAGCAAAACCCAGCCCACCCTGCCTTTTAAATACCCTTTACAATCCACACCCTCCACATCAGAGCAGGGTTAACCCCGTAATAATTTCTTAAGCTGTTGAAGGCAAAGGGCGACAGATTCGGCAGAACAGAGCCAGTGCTGAAGAGAATGCAGAAAACTCACCTGTCCCATCTTTTTCAAGATGCCACAGAATTCCCTGTCCAGCTGAAAAAATGTTTAAGAAATTAAAGTCTGTGAGGATGCCGGCAACTCGATGGTTTGGCATCCCCTTCTTCTGAAACGGAACAGTGAGTACATGGAGGAAATAAAATGTGGAGGATGTGACATCATTCATCTGTAGTAAGTAGCTGATGCAAAGGTCACACAGATGCACTGAGAACAAACCAGTTAGTTAAAAAGTAATTTAAATAAAGAGGAGGAAATTGAAACCTCACTGTTACTATCCTTTAAGCTTTAGAGTGGTAGGTAAATGGATCGGGGCTTTTTTCCTCCTTTGCTAAGAATTCCCAGCACTCCCCCTGCCCCTGGGGCTGCCACAATAACTGAGCTGATCCTTCCATAGAGCTGCCTGCTCCCACCCCAAGCCCTAAGTACAGAACACCCCCTTGGAAATACACTCTCTTACCTAATACTTTACTCGTTCACTAGGGAACACCCCCTCATATGCCAGGGACCTCATTGAAGGACTTTGCCACATTCAGGTGTCCCTCATCCTATGACAGTTCCCCCTTGTCCCTGTGATCAAGGGTGGCAGACCTTCCCTTGCATGAGACACGCCGGTACAGTCATAAATCCCTCCTTTATCAGTACAGCCACAAAATTTAGAGTTTACCACAGTTCCTCCTCAGCTGCCTGAAACAAATTTTGCTCTGTAGCATCCCAGACCCCTCTCCTCTCCCCAGATCCCTCCATGCACAGCAGCACCATGGACAGACTCAGGACAACTCTTGTACCAGCACAGGGACTCCACCACAACCGCTCTGGGCTACCGGATCCAGTGTTTCACCACCATTCCTTTCATTCTAACTTGCCACGGTTCAATCTGTGCCCATTGGGTCTCCTGCCATTGCTGCATTGGACAGAGTCGCTTGTGTCCTTTACCCACCCACCTTCAGTCAGGTGTTTGCACACCCTGACCACACAGCCCAACCTGCTCTAGTCCAAGAAAAGCCAGCAGAGCTCTCCCAGCCTCTCCTCATGCACCGTGTGCTGCAGTCCCCTTCTCACCTCAGTGGCCCTTTGCCGGACTTGCTCCAGTATGGACACGCCTCCCCCATCCTGGGATTCCAGAATCAGGCCTCCAGCTGTGTCTCATCAGTACTGGGTGGTGGGCAAGAATCATGCCCCATGACCTTGCAGGCCATGTTCCACAGGCTGTGGGGACATCCGCTGTCTCCTGGTCAGCTTGTGGTCCTGAGGACACCAGGCCCTTTTCTGCCCTGGTGCTTTCCATGAAAATGCTGCCTTTCATTTTCATGGTCTTGCTTATTAAATTTAAAAGCCATGTTAAGCAATATAGGGCTTGAAATATGCAAACAAAAAATGTGCCCAAAAAAACCTGCAAAATATTCAGAGACGCCTCACTGTACAATTTAAACCCTGTTATTGAAATATCATCAAGGATCCCTTGTTCCAAAACCAAAAGGGATAAAACAAAGGAAGCAGACACAGGGCTGCTACCACAGATGATCTCGTAACTCCACCATGCAAGCACTGCCACCAGTCTGCTGCTCCTAGATGAGCACATGCTCACGCCTACTTTTAGTGCACCCTGCCCTGAGCAAAGTGCTTTCCTGCCCTACGTGACTATCTTCACTCATATTTCCTTGGTAGCAAAATCACAGACAGCAAAAAAGGGGAACAGCCCAAACTAGATGATAATTGAATGACTGACTGATGGTACAACATGAATTGTGCATGAAGCAAATTAATTTGAAGCCAAAAAAGCATCCTGCATTCCTGCAAACCTTAACCTTTCAAAGTGTAATAGCAGATATTCAAAAGTCCCTGAAACCTGGCAAATCATTCCTCATGAGAAAAAAAATTCATTATTGAGTGATATTATTAAACATTGTATGATCTACATGACAGTTCAAATAGTGATAACAAAAGGAAGAAATTAATTGTAAAAATTTTTTAAGGGCATGAATTTAGTGATGTCAGAGAATGAAATGTTACATTCTCACTTTGCACTGAAAACAATTAGGATTGTTCCTACATAATTACATTAGAACTGTGTAATTCTCAGAGCATGAGTTCTGCAGAAGGTCTCAAAAATTCCAGGCCTAAATCTTACTATACAAACAAATGTTATAGCCAGAGGTGATCAGATGATTACAGGAAAACTATGGTTGTCCATATCGCAGAAGTGCAAGTGTTGCTTCAAAAACAGAATACAAATGGAGGATGTCAATAAGGACTTCACTATTGTTTCCCTTCTAGGATTTAATTGATACAACTTATACCTATGTAATTAGGAAATTTCACCTATGAAGCTGAATAGGCCTGCAAATTAGAAAGAAAATTACAGGAAAGATGGTGCAAAGAGATGATCTAACTATTAGCAAATATATGTGTATCTTTAGATATGTAATATACTATTAACTAAAATGGATTTGCAATGTAATTTCCGTTGCACCTCAGAACATGTAGAGAAACTGGCTAGAGATGGTTTTGCATCTTAAGCTGGGAAAGATGCTTTGGTTGATCCCAACATTTTCAAGCAATAGCTGTGCCCTCTTGTGGTCAAGCCAACTTTCATTCATGCAGTTCTGGTCACTAAAAATATCCTTCTGGATTTAAGAAAAGTACTGTTGGTGTAGCAAAGCAGCTTTTGCAGCAAGGGACCCAGCACTGGAAGAGTTGAGCCTGGGGCTGGCTGGAGATCTGGTAGAGATCAGCCAGAATTTGTCATGAACACCCACTCTTCATGGGCTTATTGAAAGTACACCATGGTATAGTTCAGAAAGAAGCTTCACTTCTTTCTTTGTTTTATTACTCTTGTCATTGTTGTGTATTTTTATCAAGACTTCAACTACTTTATGGTAGTATATAACTATATATATATATATAACCATAAATAAATAAATATATACACACTTTTATATAACTGTAAAAGCTATGTTTGAATGTACATCCAGCACAAACGCAGCAACACAGCTCTAGTTAGCCTTGGAAAAAGTGTTTGCACCAGCCCCTGTTGTCTTCAGTGGAACAAAACAAATACCCTTGAGATTAGTGATGTCCTTTCAAGCAACTGTGTGGACATAGGAACTGAAAAACACCTAAGGAGCTGTTTGTAAATTTGCTACAAATTTGGTAACAAAAAACAGACAGGAGGGAAAAAGGTCCAGCAAAGTACTGCTGCACACCTAGGTAGCTGCTAAAAGTCTGGAACAATAAATATCACCCATCACAAGCAACCTGATAGAGTACTTTGGGGACCCACCAAAAAACAGCTGAAGATCCTAATTTTCTCCAGATTTACATTACTAATGAAAGTAGAAGAGGTGAGATTCGACAATAGCAGCATTCAGTATGTGACTTTATAGGCATAGAGACACCAAGGTGCCCAACAGGCATGTATCCACCCGCAAATTCCCCTAGTATTTAGGGGAATTAGATTTAGCATTTTACCAACAACTTTAGAGCTCCTTCCTCTTGAACTCTGAGAAGATGGCAGACCAAGCACGTGTGAAAATTTGAGGTAAGAAGAGAGCAAATATTGTAAATGTAGTATATCAAATCAATAAAATACTGCAGCTGAAGGCATAGGACATTTAAGGCATTTGTCTCTTAACTACATCTTCTGTATTTATCACAACTTCACCTTTCCAGAATGAACCCTGCAGTATCCAATTCACTTACAATGGGTTTAGAACTAAATTTTCTCCTGAAATAAAAGAAAGAAGTATAAACACCCTCTTGTATAGCTGTAATGAAACGATAGACAGACACTCTGTGGGATAAGATGCATCAAAAGAAAGCCACAGCAAAGAGTCAGAGAATGAGATTAGCAAGTTTCTACAACAAAAAGTAAACAGATTGTGGGAAGAAATGATATGGCAGCTTTGATAGCTGCTGATTCCCAGATCACTGTACACAAAGCAACCATAGATATGATGGCATCTCACTGAAGCTGTCCAGAAAAAAGTATCTACAGGCTCTGTTATTTGCAAGAGAGAATATCAATGACGGACTTAAGAAATGACCCCAAACAGAAAATCAGGTAGCCAGACATGGCAACATCATTACGTTTCAATCACCTTCCCTGAATACAATAAGCAGCAACCCAAGAGGAAGGGAAAATGGTCAGTAATTCTGTTACACTTGGACAGTCAGAAATTTGTGGGATTTGGTTTGTTAAACAGGACCTGACTCTCATGAATGTGTGCTGGCTGGGCCAGGCCCCCTGGCTGGTCATGCTCAGTATGATCTGTTCCACAGCCTGCCTTGGTATCAAGGTCAGGCTTATCGGCTTGTGGCTCTTCAGATCCTCCTTTCAGCCTTGTAGACACGTGTCACACTGGCTAACCCTCAGTCTTCTGGGACTTCCCCAGTTCACTGTAGTAATGCATTTGAACAGCTTGGGCCATGATGTGCTCCAGCCAAGCCGTATTTAGAGTTTATTATCAGACCCTATAGAATTTCTCAAGGTTGCTGAGACATAAGCTGCTCTAAAAATAAGAAAGAAGAGGCTGAAAAACAAGAAAGCAGGATCACAAGAGTCAGATAACGGGGGGCGGTTGAACACCTGTAACCAATCCTGTGCCCCAAGGGGTGTGTGTGGACAGGATAGGGGCACCAATGAAAAGATGCATGATTGTGTGAACAGTAGTTTTAGAATGTATAAATAGATGTGTAATATAAACAATAAATGGCTTCTGTGGAATCTTATTGGTTCATTGTCCAGAGGTCCTGAGCTCCTGTAGTTCACCAGGGGTGCCAGTAAATGATGGAGAGCAGCTCGTCCACCCTCTCCCTCAGTTCCCTTGAGTGGATCCCACCTGGTGCCACAGATGGTGCAATTTTAAGTGGAGCAGCAGGTCACTGTCTCCTCCTGGATTACAAGGGGGCCATCCTGTCCCTTTCTTCTGGCTTAGGGGGCTTGACACCCTGATAATAACTAGTCTTTCATTTAAAGACTGAAAGAATGAAGGCATCAAGTACCTCAGCCTTTCCCTCATCTTTGGTGGCAATGTTTCCCCTCACATGCAATAAAGGATGGAGAGTCTCCTTGGCTCTATGTTATTAATGTATTTGGAAAAAAAAAATTGTTATCTCTTG